CATGAGTCAAATCAGGATAACAGGGGTTTTGTTCATTCAGTGATTTCAGGCCTCTCAAAGCCCCGAGGAGGCTTCCATCAGTGGGAGAGGCAAAGCTGGAGAGCTCTCGTTCTCATTTTGCTCCTCGTTCAATGCAAATGATTCTTCTCCAGCTGACAAGGATCAGCGGCTCCGACTCCGGGAGCATGATGAAGATGGGCTGTCAGGCCGGAGCCCGGCACAGGCACAGAGTGATGTATTCATTTAATTTCAGGGTGATGACTTGCTGTATAAAAACCACAGAACCGGCCAGTCAGAGGCTGTACGTCTCTTGCTTTCAGGCAAACAAATATGTGAGAAAGACGGGACTTTGTGACGCAAGCAATTTGGAATGACCATTGTGAAAAACATTACCCCGTAAGGCTTGTTAATTTGCTGTGTAATAATTGTTTTAGTAATAATGTAGTCGGCTTAGTGGGGGGTTGATGTGCAATCATTAGCTGTGTACAAAGGTTTTAGGCCCAGACAAACCCACAACACACCAATACTCATTACCCTTCTTCCTTCTCCGTATTTTTTGTTTTTTGGGAGGTTGCAGCATTTCTCTTTCTTCTCTTTCTTCTTCTAATCCTTAAAGTGTAGGAATAACAACACATTGTTTATGTACCATCTTATTTATTCAGCAAATACACGTGTTACAGTTCTACAAAATCAACCTTTTTTTATGGGCTTGTTGCTCAAGGAAATGTGCTGGAGCCAGACTGCATGCCAGGTGTGTGAGCTCAATTTTTCTTTTAAGACCGGATTGCCACTCTAAAGTTGTAAGTGGAATATTCTGGCTACAGGGGGTGATAGGGGCTGGGTGACCTTTCATTAACCTTGTAAAGGGTCATTTTAGCACATACTGGCTCAAGGAAATGGTTTAAAGATATGATAAGTTGCTAGTCTCTTCAAAGCAGGGAAACAGCTAAAGCATGCAGGATAGTGGCCCGCGAATGACCAGGACTCCCCACCCCTGCTTTAAGTCAATGAGCATTCACACTAGAGTTTTAATTTAAGATCCTGCTGATAAATGATGGTGTGGCCATTTTGGTCAAATCTAGTAAACAACGCTTTAAATAAAGTCATGCAATTTTGCAAAGTTTATATGATCTGTTTGTCTTTTGAGTTGTAAAGAATTATCAGCTACTAACTCAGCAACCTTTGGCCTAACGTCTAGCTTGTGTGAGTCATAGCAATATTTCAGATTGCTGATGTTGGTTAGCTGTGGCAGCCATCTCCAATTGGGTTAGAGTCAAAAAATGAATTAAATGTAGATATAAGCTCAACAATATGTCTGAGAGTTTTATTTAAAACTTCCCTGTGGTTCATGAGGTACTTTGCTTACAGAAAATACATTTTTGTCCCCAACTGCAAGGGGTCCCCAAGTGTGATGACCAATGGGACTTTAACTTCAAATTCCTTCCGTTTGCCTTTAGGTGGTGAGCAGTAAAAAACCTGAACAACATGAGATGTGTTTTGCTGTTGTGATCAAAAATTACACAAAAGGATGGGTTTAGTCAATCGCTGTAATAGGTTTGTGAATGTGTAGGTAAGGTGTAAGAGCTTAGAGTTCTGGTGTCTGGATGCAAAAACCTGGTCATCTAACATCTGACACATGAAGATGAGATGTTAGGAAGAAGTTTAAAGGTTGAGGAAATGAATAAAATGCCACATTGAAGAGGCTGGAAGGGAATCATACAGGTGAGAAGAAGAATCCTGTGTTCGATCAGGGACCTAATTTACAGCCAGTGGACATGTAGATGGATGGAAGGAGCACAATTTGGAGAGCCTGAAAACCTAGTTGTGCTGAATTTGACCCACAGCCATTTTTCTTGGATCATGAAAAGGTCTTCGTATCAGGCTTTTGGGAGAAAATGGACAAAAACATAGATGAAGCTTTCAGGAGAGGATGTGAGTTAGGCGGCTGCAAATGAAAGATTGATGCAAAAGCTTTACTATATGTATTAAGTGACATATTTAATATTTTGCATTTGAACTTCACCTTGATTCTCTTTTTATCAAGTATAATTAATAATGTAAGAATGACCTGAAGTGTGACCTCAGTTTAACACCCAATAAATGAAAAGTTGAGAAAAAAAAATGAACAAAGTTGTAAATGTTTCTGTTTGACATTTTATTATGTGTTGACCTCCCGTTAGTCCTTCTTCTTCATTAATTTTCCAAAGAAATGGTTAAAATCAAAACCCTGCAGCCTTAATCGATACTTTGCAAAGTGGGTTCTTGTTCCCATTTTATAAATATGCATGAAAACTGTCGAGCTTTGCTATTTAATAGGTGTGAATGCTTCTTTTTCTTTCTTTTCTTTTTTGCATCGCACAAGGATATGTTGCCGTCTGTGCTTGGTTTAAGCTCCATAGCGGACGATGTTTCCAGAAGCAGTATTTCTTTTTTTTACGTTTGATTTCACTTTGGGACCACACACTCCAGTTTTTGGGGTCATACACCGCCAAAGGCTGGCAAAAATGTCATGACTGGTTGCCTGCGGCTGCCAGGTTGCTGGTGAATGTGATTATCTGGTTTTTAACGTACTGTGACTGATAGGGGTGAAGTGGGGCGCCCAAATGGTGAAGGCAGTAGCCACGAGTCATACTCACTAAAATATGACAATTGTAGGTGAAATGGAGACAGAAATAAGACTCTTATCTTGTGCTTGGAGAAAAAATAAATATTTTGCTTTGGTGGTACTCTGAATAATATCAGCTGGTAAACCAAACATACACACTGCCTTTTATTTTTACACTCACTGGTGTGATAACACAGATGGGTCAGTCCTGCAGCACCGTAAAAAAAAAAGTGTAGATTTTATGGTAAAACGCCGGCAGCTGGGTTTGCCAGAATTGTACCTTAAAATTACGGTCAAACCTTTTTTTTTCTTTTACGATAAGAAGGGAATTTTAATTGTTTTAATGGTTAAAAATGGTGCTGAAGTCAGTATTTTAATGTAGAAGAAAATGTTTTTTTACATTGTTTTACTGTAAAATGAACACGAAAATAATATATAAAACAACATTTATGCCGCAAAAAACTAAATTCAAAGAGTTTTCCTCGTGACATTCAATCACCTTTCACTGTTCAATTCATAGTATGAAATAGGGATGTACATAATTAACCGGTTAACTGTCAGTAAGGTTGTAACCAGCTATAATGGTTTTGCCTTCTTAATTGCTGCTCATGCCTTTCAACTGCACTTGTGTGTAAAATTGTAGCATTCAAAAGCATTGCGATGGTAATGACATCTGTAGTGAACAGCAGCACAGCCTCCCTATGGTATCTAATCTATTATTGTCATGTAAAATCAATGCAGATTTTACAGTATCAAATTACATCATACATCCATACCAGAAAATAAAAGTTGCATCTTTTCAATAAATAAATGTAAAATTCATAGTGTTTTACTGTTTTCAAAGAAAAAATGTACACATTACTGTTTACACTTATTCATTTATTTATAGCAACTTCATATAAAATCAATAGTTTTAAATAGTTTTATAGTTGGCGGGTTTTTCCTGTCATGATTTTACGGTTAGGGTTTAGTTATTAGTTTAGTCATAGTTAGGGTTATGTTAGGTAGGGATACATGTTAATCATATACAGCAATTTTTTACAGTGAGGGAAAACACCTTTAACAAACAGTTGTTATCATTTTAAATCTAATCAAAAAAATCTTTAACCCTCTCAGGCTCAAATTAAGTTTTGATAAAAGGATGAACAACTAAGTCCTTCAGGGGTACTTCTGAGTTAAAAAATGCTCATGAAATATGTATGTGGAGTAACCAGGTAGGTAGGTTTTAACGTTGCAAATCTGCAACTCCTTCCTCCAGAGGGTTAAAGCAAATGATAAAACTATAACTGTGCCACAAATGATGTCATACCTTAACAACAGCAGCTTGCAGGCACTGAGACAAAGGAAGCTCATTGTAACAACTGTTGTTAAAGATTTGCTTCCGACAGCTTTTTATGAATCTGCTAGCTTCTATGCCACAGCCCTACTGTCAGTTTTGTGCTTCACTTGCTTGTGATTTTGTCAGCTATATTTGTTCATGTGGAAACTAAACTCATTGATTCATGGAGGGCAGAATGTAGAGTTGGTCCATCTGCAGAAATGAACCGGAATCCAATTATGCAGTCACTTTTGCTACGGGTGATGTTTTTCACGGAAAAATGTGTTCACAACGACAACACTTATTTTATTTGAAAAGAAAAGCAAACAAGGGGACATTCAGATGATATAATATGGAAGAACAAGCATTAAACACTAGTGCAAAAGTATAGCCATGCTCCAATCAAGTCGATAAGATAGTAAAGCCGATGCAATTGTTGTGTCCTACTGTGAGGCATGCAGAGCTGCAGTGACCCAGGAAGTTGGTGCCATTCAGTTTTCTATTTATGGACCATTGCAGTTCCAAAATCATCAACCTCTACACAATGTTTAATGTTTTATCCATCAGCTCTGAAGGAGTTAGTTGTGTTTTTCTGTCTTGAGCTCATGCTGATCCTGTGAAATTGTTTCAAATATTTATGAACCGAGTGAACAAAAGGTTGTCTGATCATAATGGAATGAGAAACCAGGGGACTTAGTTTTGTTTTTAATTATTTCGTCGTCATCATCTTCCTCCGCTTATCCGGGTCCGGGTCGCGGGGGCAGCATCCCAACTAGGGTGCTCCAGAATTATTTCATTAGTGAAATAACTTTCAATGATGAAGAAATACCCCCAAGTAGTTGTGTGTGTGTGTGTGTGTGTGTGTGTGTGTGTGTGTGTGTGTGTGTGTGTGTGTGTGTGTGTGTGTGTGTGTGTGTGTGACAGAGAGAGAAGAGAGATTCTACAAAACAAATTATTCCTACATATTGTTATATCAATACATAAATTGACCTGCTGTGTAAGAAATCTTGTAAGTTGTGTGATTTCTTGGGATTTTCTTGGAATCTGAGCATATTTGACCTCTCATCTTCCCTGCAGTTACTTTGAGCTGGAAAGTAGCGGGATGAGAGAGGAGATACGCTACCACTACCGTTTCAAAGGCAAGCTGCGATCCGAATCCTTCCCGTACCGCCTTGCTGATGGCCAGTGGCACAAGATCGCCCTCACCATCAGCACCTCCCACCTACTGCTGCACGTCGACTGTAACAGGTAACACACAGCATTGAAACTGCCGTAATAGCTGTTGCGAATGGCTTTTTATCACCCTTCTTTGATATGACACATCTAATAAGCTGTCTGCATTCATCAAAACAAATATTTGTTTGTTACGGAGTCAGTGAAGATGACAGGTTGTTAACAGCTCTGAAAGGAAACACCCAAGGACAAATTAGCACACACAGAATGTGAGAGGGACGTGGTGTATTTATATAGCATCCTGTATCACAACAATATGTTCATCAGGCACTCCTCCTTTGTGATACAGAAGGTAACACTCATTTAATTGTCTCATCAACTGACCAGAGAAGACACCAAACTCTGTTGGGAATTCAATTTTAAAGCGTTTCATCTTATATTTATGCATGCACTAACCGTCAACATCTTTCAAATTCTTCACATCTACTGTTCAGAATCACGAAGGCATAATTTTTCTGTTTGGTTGCATCAACAGCTCTACAGGGTGTGTAAATTCATCGTAACTTTTTTTGATGGCGTTGGGATTTTTGAACAGCAGTCCCTTTTTTAACGAGACAGTGATACGTATAAAAGACAGCATCAGTGTTTTCAAATGGATGCAATAAAAAAAACACCCTTTTCAGTTAGTAATTGCCAGGGTCAGAGCTTCCACCCATGCAAAAATAAAGTTAAAGCCATATCAATTTATAATGTGATAACTTCTTTTACTTACATTCTGTTTGAAGTAGCTGTCCTCCTCTCAGGTTATTTTTTGCTGCTGATCACTGATACCATCACCTGGATCGGCTATACATCTATATTATGATGAGTGCTACAGATTACACGATCAAGGGGCAAAAGGAAAAATGTAATCACCTAAGTTCAGACAAAAACTTTTTTTTTACTTTTTCAAGAGAAAAATACAAACAAATACCTTGCAGCACAATCAGTGAGTACAACAAATCTCCTACTCACAACAGTGAAGCCTCGTGGATAAGATGAAAATGTCCTCAGGATAACCAGAAAAATCCATTTGTTTTCAGTTAAAATTCCCAAGAAGATTACATCCTGAATGACAGAGAATTGCCACCAACGTGTTGCAGCAACGATTTAGCCAAATAGAAAACTGAAAAACAGCTGTCAGTAACACTCTCTGACAAAAAACAAACAAAAAAAAAAAAAACTCAAAAGTTCAGAACAGGCATTACTGTACACCCCATTCCCCCAAAAAGGGAAAATAATCTCAACATTGGCCTGTATTTGAATAGTGCTGTCATAGGGTTCTACAACTCCCCAAGGCGTTTCACAACACGATCAGTCAACCACACATTCACACGCTGGTGGTGATGAGCTACGATGTAGCCACAGCTGCCCTGGGGCACACTGACAGAGGCGAGGTCTGCCGAACACTGGCACCACCAGTCCCTCCAACCACCACCAGCAGGCAAGGCAGCTTTCTCAGGTCAGAGCCAGAATTGAACTTGCAACATTTCAATTTCTGGACAACTTGCTCCAGACTCCCGCTCTACTTACTGAGCTACTACTGTCCCACTTTGCATGTTATGAGGTTCATTTATATGTATTGTTTTCTACTCTTATGTTGGTATCAATAATCCACCATTTGGCACTCTAGGCAAGCTCAACCATTTGGCACCTATCTGAGGCAGAAGACACAAAAGCATGTTGAGATCCTGATTAGGACACAGTACAAATGGGGTCAGAGACAAGGGCCAGCCCTGGTGAGCATGGGGCACAAGCTCAACTAAATACAGCTCCCACACATGACCCTGCTACCCCACACTGCTGTGGATTTTCCAGGGGGTATTATATACATTATGTTAGGGCTGGGCGATATGACGATTTTAGACCGTTTTACGATCCACACATCTGACGGCCTGTCATTTTTGAGAGACCGTTTTATCACGATTCACAGCTGCTGTTGAATTTCTGCCTCTGAATGAAAAGGGAACTTACCCCAGGCGAATGACACGCCTTTGTTTGACCCTTAACCAATCAGAGTGAGTCATAGTAATATATTAGTGCCTGCCCCGCTTGTTTTCCCCTGTGTGTGAACAAACATGGCTTCGCCGCGGCTGAGCGACAACGAGGTTTTCGTTCCGAAGAGGAACGCAGGGTTTCCTTAGCGCGCGGCGCTAACAACTTAGTGACGTGACATGTCTCGGAGAAAGCGTAAAAACACGTTGGACGCTTCTTCTGAAGCAGGAAAATAACACCGCTTCTTAAGCAGAGCACGACGTCGCCTCGGCTCGTTCACCCTCTGCCGAGCCGGTGTCGGTACCGGACTGAGCTCGGTCGCTGGGTCGATGGAGCTGCCCCGTGACTGCCTGATGGAAAACCAGCGGGTTTCATCAGACTCGTAGTTTCTTGTTTTTGTTAGGGACCCCCTGTATTTTACCACTCCCTCCTGCAGTCTTCCCCTATTAACATTTAAAATGATTCTGTAAATCCGTGTATCAATAGAAAAAATCTCTGCCTCTGCCAGCTGCAGTAAATGTAGTTTCCAAATAATAAGAGGTGCATTCATCTGTGTATCTCCTTTGATCTGCATTAGTGATATTCTCAGCACCAGAACAGTGAAGCAAAGAAAGATTCCTGAGTTTGTTAGTAATTTTATTTATTAGGTGCATCTAACCTGTTCTATTTTTCTCTGAAATGAGATCAAATCAGTGCTTCTATGGGTTGTCTCCAATCTGCACTGGAAATTTTTACTTTATTTAGAGACTTGTTGCAGAAAATATTCAGAATGCGCAGTTTTTTGCTACCACAAGCGATCTCTGGTCCAGCCGCACATCAGAGCCATATTTGAGCTTAACTATCCACTACATGAGCTACTGGGAGCTACATAGTATTTTGAACAAGTTAATGTTTGCACAATACGTTTGCAATTGACATGTTTGCACTTTAAATATGTTTACGATTTTAATTGATGTTAAGTTACTTGAAAAACGAGAAAAACAGATTTTTGTAATTGTTTCTCTCAGGGCTTTTATCATCTCTGGTGTGAGTTTAAAATATAAGTGTGTTAGCACTGTGCTGATTATCCCTAATATGAATAAATGTCTATTTATTCAATGTTTCTCTTCTTTAATACGCAATTGAAGTTATGCTATTCATGGATAAAAAAATCGTGATAAAATCGAAATCGTGATAAAATATTGGAAAAATCGTGATATTCTATTTTTGCCATATCGCCCAGCCCTACATTATGTCAGGAAGTTCATAACAGGCAAGACAAACTGAGCCAAAAGTTAGAGAAAATAAATCTTGTGACACCTGTCCATATGATTGGCTGAAAAATACTAACCACAGTACCTTCCTGAAGCATTCAGAGATTTACACCCTAAATATTGTGGCTGCACACAAATAGCACAACACTTCATATGAGAAAAAAGAGTAGATGCTTCAATTGTTTTCTTTTGCCACCCATATGGCTGCTGGATTATGGCAAAAATAATAATCACGGTTATTGTGACTGAAATTGAGAGCTCGATTATTTCAATTTATGTTGATTTTATTTGTTTTTATTCAGTCATAAATTTGCTCAGGGCACAATCAGGACAAAAATAAATAAGAAACAAGATGATCACTAAAATAACTCCTGATTCCCAGTATAAAAAGACCAGTATACTTACAGCTCATAGTTTATGACCCAACGGCTATAGACCTTGGTTTAACTCATTTAAGTCTAGCCAGTACAGACCCAAATACCAGTATCTTGCAAATACTGACAGCAAGAATTATACAGTGGCATTTATAACAAATAAATGCAAATAAATTGATGTTCATAAAATGTTGCGTAACATTTATTTAGTCGTGTCAAGGTGCTGTAGGAGCGTGCACTAGCACCGTGTCCTCAGAGAGATTAGTTATTATTTATCAGCGTGAGGAAGTTATTTCTACCTTATTTATGAACTATTTATTTACAGGTCCATCAGTTAATGTAATAATTGTCCCAACCACAGCTGCACCCCCCACCCCCCCACCAGGTCTCACAGCAATCAGGGGCAAGCTGCACGTGTGTGTAATACGCGCACATTTAACCGTTTTTAGCGGCTCAGGAGCCCGCAGGTGCGGTGTGTGTGTCACTCACTCTGGTTAATCACACAGGGAGCCGTTTCTTTAGCGACCGACACATCACTACATCATTCCCTTTCCTAAAATCCTGAAGAACGTTCCGGAGCGCAGGCAGAGTTTTTAACTAACCTGCAGGAAATGTCAACGACAGTTATCTAGAAAGTAGCTAAGGGTTACCAGAGATGTTTCTGAGGTGTTCGCTAGGTACTTTTAAGATTTAAAAGGTCAAGAAGGGGGTCTGAAAAGCTGTTAGAAATAGCGTCAACGTCGCTAAGTTGGCAACACTGTGGGAGGAGCGCTTCATTTGCAACTCAGGGCAGCGCAAGTAAGAGGAGCAAATAATCGGCTTGTTTTGTTTTAATAATCGTTCAAAACTCAGATCATAATTGGGATTAAAATTCGATTAATTGAGCAGCCCTAGTCACCCATATGCCCTCTGTCTTCAAGCAGTTGAAAAAAAGGAGGCTGGCTTTCAGATAAAACCACTACATTGGCCCCCATCCTTTAGAGGTGAGCATTTCAAAGATGCAACCATCCACCAGACCCGTCGGCAGTGCAAGATGTCAACATGTAGACAAACTCTTATTCAAATTTACCAATACTTTCATGGGGAGGTAAGAAATGAGTGATGGGATGATCTTTGAAGCTTTTCTTGGAAGATCAAAGTGAAGATGATGACCAACCAAGCTTTTCTAAGCGTGCATCAGGTCAGGCATTGAGGTCTAATATGTTTTCACGCAGCCTTTCTCAGCTCAGATCCCAGGTTTGTTCAAACAAATTCTCTTTGATTTTCCCTTGCAGACAAAGATGTTTTTAAATTAGCTTCAGAAAAGCTCAGGACACATCTTTCATCTCAGAAAGAGCAACACTTAAGTCTTTGTGTCATACCATCACATGAAAATGATGAAACTTGATGAAACATCATTTTTGACACTATTTGT